GGGATTGGCGTAGCTGGTGCTCACGCTCCGTTCAAGCTCAAAGGTTCTTTGGAGCAGTTTCTCCTCTTTTCCGCATCTTAGTCTTCAGGGGAATCGGAGGCAGGTGTCTGAGTGCCTTTGCACGACTTGCCTCTCCGAGTTCGAGAGCAGGGCCAGTGGTGTGAATACGTGTGATAATTAAACCTCACAGATCTGCAACATAGACTCCGTAGATTCAACACACACACGGTGCTCATACTAACCAGCACGTAACATGTTTCTGTGTGTGCCAGGGCACCAACCTAACCATTCCAGGGACCCCCCTGTGCCAACGTCGTTGAGTCAAGTCTAATTTCTTAAACTTAATACATTTTTTAAACTCCTTCTTCACTTACCCTTGAAAGATGCTCTGATGACATCTGCAATTTGAGAAAAAGGTAAGAACTGCCTCAAGGCTTTTGTCAAGGAAAAAAATTCAAATTTTTCAAACTACAATTTTCATATTTAATTTGTGAGTAATGGTAGTTTCTTGAAATGTTCTGTTGGGATAGAAAGCAAGTAGCCGTTACTTTAAATTAACAGTTTCTTGGCAGTGCATCCAATTTTCGTTACTACAGATTTCATCGCGGGTAGTGAGTTAGGATAGTGAGTAGCGGGTAGTGAGTTAGGATGCCCTCTGCTTTGCTGAAACCGGGGAATAGTGTGGGGATCCCCTGAAGCCAGCCCATGGTTCCCCTCTATGGTCAAGTGCAAGCAAGCCCCCGGTTCGAGGTCCCGGTTGGTCTCACCTGGGACAGAACTGTCTGCACCAGCTCATTTATGCTCCTTGGTCCTGCCATTGGGTGATTTCAGTGCAGCTGAGCAGACCCATCATCTCCCACCCAAATCACGCAGACGGGCCAAGCAAAGGACGCTGTGCTAGGGTCAGAGAGAGAATGCCATGGTGATTACCCGGTGTCCGAGTCCACCTTACAAAGGGGATGTCGGTTAGTCCGTCACCAGCTTCCCAGGCTGTCTGTCTGTTTAGAATAAAGGCGGGAACATTTCCTTCTCTGAGTTTCGGCCACCCCTTTAAGGAGCTTTTGTTGAACAGTGTGAATGTTGTGGGCCCCGATGGGTGGAAACACACACACACACACACAACGCACACACACTCTCTCTCCATGAGAAAAGAGAGCAGATTCTACGTGAGGAACCCCTGGCGGGAAACCAGGTCTCATGGCCCGGGTACTGCCGGTCACAAGACTGCCAGCGACTGGCAGAGGGTCAAGGGGAAGTGTCTGTCTGTCTGGCAGAGACACTGCCTTGCACAAACATCAAAGCGCTGCTTCCGAGAGGGGCAGTTTCTAGGCTGCGTCCGCAGGATGGAAGCTCGTTGGCGTCCTTCGAAGGCCCCACAAAAGGCTTGGCGCGTCCGGAACTTGGCAGGAGCGGCCGGGACCGCGGCTTTAGCCCCTTCCAGCTCTTTAAACTGACATGACGCCTCCCTGTCTCCAGACTCAGACTGGCCGCTTGCGGCAGCGGCTTTCAGGCCCCTGGGGTGGGCACAGGCAGCAGCGGTTCTGGATTGGGGGGTGGGGTGGGCGGCGAGGCAGCGGTCTGGAGCTGAAACACCACAGTAGAGACCCAGACAGACAGGCCGCCTCTAGCCGGGAAGTTCTCCAGCACTGAGCGGTGGTCTCTCGGGAGTGGGGCAGGGGGCTGCCTGCCCCCGACCCTGGGGTCCAGGTCAGCCAGTTGGGGGCAGGATGGACCGATTAGGATGCTATTTTCATTAGTTTACATTTAACTTCTCTTTCGGGTGTACTTTGTGATACATAGTATATCAGTACCAGTGAATGTATTACAAATACATGGGTGCATTTAATGGGCCGTTGCTCAGTTGGATGCATGCATTTCTTGAAGAGGGCCTTTGTTTGCCTCCGGGAGAGTTCGTTGGAGTCCAGAGTCCAGGGTCTTGGTCACTTTTCTTTCATTGTTCCCAATCATCTTTGCAGACATGCCACTTCTGTCTACAGGCATTCTACCATCGGTCGCTGTTTTCCTAGGGGTTAGCTCTTCGAGTATTTAATTTGTGAAAATGCAGAGGAAGATTCTATTTATCTGAGGCTTTTTGTTTTGACCCTCACCCCAGGATATGTGCTTACTGTTTTTTGAGAGAGAGAGGAAGGGAGAGAAGGAGGGAGAGCGAGAAACATCAATGGGAGAGGGAAGCGTGGATCCCACTGCCTCCCGCATGTGCCCTGACTGGGGATTGAAACTTTCTGGGGTGCAGGACGACGCTCCAGCCACCGAGGCACCTGGCCAGGGCTACCTGAGGCTCTTAACCAATTTCAGTGACAGGTATTTGTAGGGGTAGTGAAGAGAGACTGGGCATTTCAAGATGCAGTATTTCCTGTCCGTTTTGAAGGGCTTTATTTACCTCTGTGTGCTGTCCATTGAAAATCAAGAATGGAATGAGAATGCGTGTTTGTAAAGTACTCAGTCTTTGGGGGGAAAAAGTAAACAGAGTAAATAGCACAAGACAAAACAAACACAGTAAAAACCACTCGAAGCACAAAAGCAGAAATTCTCATGAGTAGGTGCCACAGTGGGTGGAAGTGAAACTCAGGACAATGGAGCTTCATCTGGTTTTGAAAATTAGTCAAACGGACTGAGGCTTCCGTGGGATTCACTTCTGTTTACCAAAGGCCTGCGTCGTTGCTGAGAGCGGCATCCTGGTTCGCCTTCCCCCGAAGGCCTGTCCAGGCTGCCACTGTGGGGAGGAGAGTCCCGGGGCCGAAAAACATCCCCATCGATGACTTTGAATAGACCTGGAAGGAACGAGAAGACAAAACAGTCGGAAAAGCTATCGTGGGGATGGAGGGATGAGATTATACGTTACTTTTCTCTCGATACTTTTGAGTCATACTTTACTCTAGTGGTCTGTCTAACCAAATATAAGAGGCAGGCACCGTTGAGATCTTTGAGGGTAACATGTAGCCGGTCATCAGCTGCGTGTGGATCCCCCCCCCCCGCAGAGGGATGACGCCCCTTACGGCAGGCAGGTCGCTGCCCGTAGGTACCCTGCGTACACTTGGATCTAAAGGTGTTGTAAGTGACACTCGTGCCTTTGGGGGAATACCCAAGTCCCTTGTTCTTGCTGTTTTCTGAGACTCCTCTTCAAGTGAAGGAAGGGGAAGGGTTTAGAAGTGGGGAGAGTTCCCGCCCTCCGTCTGCGGTGACTGTGCTGAGCGGCAGCCGGTCAGAGGGCCGATCCACGTGTCTGAGACACAGAGCGCACCCTGGTTCAGCTGCCGTGTGAGTCTCACAGCCGGCACCGCCCCTCAGTGTGCCCCCCGTGCACGGGGGAGCTCTCTGGGGTATGGGCTCCAGCTCTGGTTCTGGTCAGCACGTCCAAAGAGGACCTTCCAGCCTCGCCCACCCCTCCCCCTAACCTGCTGCACCCGCGACCTTCATCGTTTTAGCATCTACAACTCATCCTCCGGTGGAGCGGACCCAGAGTCGTCTGATTCTGCTTTGTCTCGCCCACTTAAACAATCTATCGGGAGCCCCGTGGACTCAGCTGTCAAAACACCCAGACTCCGGCTGCTTCTCACCACCCCCCTGCCCCCAGGTACCGCCCAACTGCGTGACCGTCACTTATCCGTCTCCGGGAACCACAGGCCTGGATGCTCCTGCCTCCGCTTCAATAGTCCCAACAGACCGTGGCAGTGACACTGAGTAAACCAGACCCTGTCACCGCCTCATCGGTGTCCGTGCTCCCTCTGCTCCCGGAGGGAGAGGTGAGAGAACAGGCTGTCCCCTCTGGGTCCCGGATAGCCTGCCATCCATCACTGAGCTGACCCTTCCCGTCCTCCTCCCTCCGCTGTCCCCGTTCCAGCCGCCCTCGCCTCCCGCTTTCCTCCAAATGCAGAGCAGACGCGCGTCTGTAGGCCGGACCTTCTCCCTGAGACACCTGCGCGGCCCCCTCCTTCCCGCACCTGCTCACCCGGCCCCTGCACCGCCCCTCACCCTCCCTATCATTTTCCTACTTGCGGTGGCGTGATTTTTCCGTGTGCACGCATCCACTGACTCCCTGCTCACGTGCGTCGTGGCTTGTCTGCTAGACTGATGCTACTTTCACAGAACCTCACCTGCCTGTGTACCTCTCACTGTTCTTCTTGCGGTCAGTCGACATTTCTTAAAACTTGGAAGAATTTAAATTATAGTCGACATGCAGTATTGTATTGGTTTCAGATATACAATGTAGTAGCAATTAGACATTTATGCACCTTACAGAGTGGTCGCCCGGATGAGCCCAGCACCCACCTGGCACCCTCCGCAGCTTTCATGGTATCACTGAGCATATTCCTGCCCCTTGCCTCCCCGTGACTGGTCTTCTTACTGGCAACTTGTGCTTCCTAATCTCTTCCCCTTTTCCCCCACGCCCCCAACCCTGCCCGTCTGGCAACCATCAAAATACTCTCTGTCTATGAGTGTATGTCTGTTCTGTTTGCACGCTTGTTTTATTTTTTAGATTTCACACGTAAGTGAAGTCATACGGCACTTTTCTTTTTCCGTCGGTTGTATTTCGTTGCATGTTATGACGTCTGGGTCCATTCACGTCGCTGCAAATGGCAAGGTTTCATCCTTTTTTGTGGCTGAGTCGTGTTCCACTGTGTGCACGCACCGCCTCTTTGTCCGTTCGTCCGTCAGTGGGCACCCAGGCTGCTGTCCTGTCCTGGCTGATGTAAATAACGCTGCAGTGAGCACAGACGCTCGCCTGTCTCTTTAGATGAGTGTTTGGGTGTCTTCGGGTAAACACCCAGAAGTGGGATCTCCGGGTCGTGTGTTATATTTTAAATGCCTTTTTTCTTCCTCGGGCACTTTATAAACAGGCCTTGTGTCCACAGTCACTGGGTTCGTGAGTCTCGTTGGGTCACCGACATCACCGCACCTCCCCGAATCCAGGCGCTTGGCCGCCGCGGGGCCCACAGGAAGGTCTCAGTCCTGACGTCCCCCCCCCCCCGCCTGGTGATGCCCTGAATCCCTGCCTGTTCCTGTGCTTTATGGACACAGGGGCGAAGAGCATGTGTTTCCTGTTCCCTTTGCGAAGTGACGCCCTGCGTGGCGGTAAAACAGGTGTCCTGAAGTCTGACACCTGAGCTCCCGCGGGGATGCCTGTGGCGGTGTGGAGGGGCTGGGGGGCTGGGGGGCGCGTGTGGGCGGTATCGGGTAGGTTAGGAGGTGCGTTTACTCGCTCAGAGCCTGAGGTGTCCCCTGCCTGTGCACTGCGGAGAAGCAGAGCCCGCTCCTTAGTCAGCCTAACCTGGCACATCCTGATAAACTTTCCAAGGCGCGTCGAGGTGTTTCTGCTACTAGCAATGGACCGTCACCTTGAAACGAGGGCAAAAGAGAAGGTTATGGCTTATTTACTTTAGGGTGGAAATTCATCCTGGAAAAGAAAGCAAGGCTATTTGTGACACGGGAGAATTTCTGAGCCCTCACGGTGGCCTCTTGGCAGAAGAGAGAGGGCACCTGAATGGTCTGACCTCTTCTGTTGTCATGGCAACAGAGAAATGTGCCCTCAGGCCGGGTGCAGGGTGGGGCTGCTGGCATCTGGGAAAGGAAGAGTCCTCCCCACAGCGCGGAGCTCTGCGGGGCGCTCTCCGGAAACCCGGGTCCCTGCCTCCATGTGTCCCGAGCACAGCACACCAGCGCCAGAGTCTCCCTCCGGAGCCTGTTCCCTCAAGTTCACCTGCGGTCTTCCTCTCCCGGGGCTGCCGGGACAGGGCGGCTTAGACCACAGAAGTTCAATGTCTCTGGGTTCTGGAGTTGGCAGCCCACGAGGGCCCTCGCTCATCCACGCCGGCAGCCTGGTCTTGGGCATCCAGTCTCCAGGACGGGGAGGACTACATTCCTGCTGTTGATAAGCTACTGGGTCTGTGTTGTTTTGTTACAGCAGCCAGAACAGGCTGGACACATCCTGTCTTCCTGCCCCAACGTCTGGTCCACGTCCAGCAAGGGCAGGCGGCCCTGTTCTGAGGTTGGTTCATGGTCTCTTTGAGGCGCGAGCTTTCCCATCAGAGGGTGAACCTAGGAATCGGAGTCATCGTGTAGGTGGAGCCTCCCAGCGGCAGAAATGCTTATGTGCGGTCGTGGACGCATTTCCACAAATACAGTCCATTTAGCGGAGTCGGGATCCGGCTGGACGGCAGGCCTCTGCGGAAGCGCCGTATCTTCCCCGGGGCAGAGTGCCGCCTTGAGTCCCCTCGGAGCTGGTCAGAGATCCCGGCAGGGTGGTCTCGGACTCTCGGGCCAGGAGAGGGGTGCGGGGAGGTTTCGGGAATGTGGCGGCAAGCCCAGCCCGCGCGCCTTACGCACTGACCTGCCCTTCCCACTGTAAGGACTGCTTAGAGTTGAAGGTTGAAGAAACCAGCAAATGGGCAAACATGTTATTTGGGGGGAGTTACCATGATTGATCATTGTTAATCATCAGTTCCTTAGAACAGACTCCTTTATTATGCTTGTCAGTCAGCTGTTAAAGAACGAAAGAACGAGACACATGAGGGTCACGAGGGGTGTACATGCCGATGCGGCCAGTGGTTCTGCTAGTTTGTAAGGAAGTTGGGACATCGGCGTTTATGTGCGGACCGCAGCGAGCGCGGGCGGTGAGGTCTGTTGTCCGCGGTGTGCTAGGCGTGAGCAAGCAGCTCCGAGACGCAGCTCCGAAGGGCCAGGTTAGGATGTCAGTAGTCGGGTCACTGCAGGCGGCCTGGAGGTGGCAGCCGAGGGTGTCTCAGACGCCCTCTGCATGCAGGTGGCCGGAATCCTCGCTCGACTGTGCCAGGGACTGAGCTCCCCATCCCCTGGGAGCATCTAAGCAGGCCCTGAGTTCACACTACTCTTGGAAGTTTGAGGACATGAGAGGTAAGGCCTCTTTCAAACCTAAGACTCGATGTCACGGTGAAATGCCCGACAGCACTCTCTCGGCGTCCGCAGGCCCCAACGGGCAGCTGAGTCTGCAGACTCCAGGAAGAGAGCCCACTGGGGACGGCAGGGGCACCGCGGTGTCGGGGAGGCAGCGGGGCTCTTCCCCCGACTCGGCCTTGGCTGCTCCCGGGCCCCCGATCGCTCTTAGGTTTGAAGCAGCAGTGACCTTCGTGGCCTGCCCACCTCGGGCTGCAGCCTTGGAACTCGGCCGCTGCCCCGCTGTTGTCAGAAGCAGATTCCTGAAAAGGTCAGCACCGTCAGTACTCGGTCGGAGGGGAGGGGAAATGCCAGGCAGAGGCTTGAGGCAAGTCCAAAGCTTGGCGGCTCGTTTGTTGGACTGTTGCTATTATTTGCTCCAAGGTGGACAGATCGGCTCGTAAACTCCTGCAGAGACAAATGAGTGGGCATCTAACCCCCCCACCCTGGCTCTCTCTTTTTAATCCCCACCTGAGAGTATGTTTGTTGATTTCAGAGAAAGAGGAAGTTGTGGGGGGTGAGAGAGAGAACCACATTGATTCCGTTGCCTTCTGTATGCACCCTAAAACCTACAACCTAGGTCTGTGCCCTGACCAGACACCGAACCCGTGACCTTTTGGTGCACAGGATGACGCTCCAACCACGGGAGCCGCCTGGCCAGGGCTCACCCCGCTGCCCTTGGGTGGAGCCCATGTCCCAGGCTTCCCAGCCAGATGGAAAGTGCTCGGCGATAGATGCCCTGTTTCTCTGTATGCAGATGAGTTACTGGGGACATTTTTGAGGACTCGAGTGTGGATTAATTTCCTAGTTCCAGACGGACACAGGGGGGATGTTGTTTGGAATAAGGGCCCCCCGAAGGGAGCTGGGGCTCAGGACGAAGGCGGCAGGGGGACGCCAGCGGTCCGAGCGCGTCCCCCAGACCAGTCACGCCACCACTGGGGTTTCTGTTTAATAGCGTGGAAATTGCCTTCTCTTTGATGTAACTTGAGAGAAAATGCTACTGTATAATTGCTTCATAATTAATATTCAGGGTTGTTTTTCATGTAATGAGACCCACTAACCATCACTTTGACACGAGTTCTTAATTAGAGAGTGAGCTATTTTAGAACAATAGATAAGTGATGATTTTTTAAATTGCTAAGAACTCGGGCTGTTACATCAAGAGACCGCATTTAGTCTCCTGTAGCTTGGTGCCGGGAGCCTGCCTCTGGCCGGAGGCCTGACCTCGGAGGAGTTGTGGTTGCTTTTTTAGTTGCTTGCTAAATGTTTTTACTTCTCTACACCTCAGTTTTCTTATTTCAAAACGAGGATGTCAGGTGAGGAGGCTTCCAAGGTCCTTTTCACCTTCAACGTTCTGTGAATCCGAAGGAGACAGTGAACACCTAGCAACACGCAGCGGAGAGTGTATTTTGGGGACAAGCGGGTCGTGGTGAACAAAATTCCCACTGTCTGAATCGCTTTGGCTGAGAGTTTCGGGCCGGCCCCAGGCTACCAACTTTAACCACGTAATACCAGAGAAAAGCAGCTCATTACAGTATGATTTTTGGGCTGTTTGTTTATCAATCAGATTAGCTATGGATGAGCAGACAGTGGGCGCTTCAAGAATCAGCACTCAGGAGCAGTCGGTACCAATGCAAGAATTGTGTTCCCTTCTACAGTGTTGCCGGAGGAGGCAAGCCAATGACAAACTCTCCCGGCTTCCCAGCTTGGTCCAGAGCGGCCTTGGGTCTCAGCTTATTTGAAAATGAAAAAAAACAAAACCAAAACAGACCACATTAGTTATCCTGAAAATTATTGCTTGGGAATAGGGAAGGCAACAGCAAATAAGTAACGTGTTAAGATCAAGAAACCTCAGTCATCATTACTATGAATAACAATTAGTAATAAAGCAGAGAAGGAGAGAAGAAAGTCATGAACTGTTACTACAAAGGGGAGTCCATTCCTCACCTTCACGGGCACTCGCTAATCTGTTGGACTCCTTCCCGGAGATGTGGCCTCAGTCTGTTTCTCAAATCTGTACAAAGTAGCGTTTCCCGACCAGACACTCTCTTCTCTGGAGTGAAGGAAAGAAACACTAAGAGAGGGCGGGCCAGGCCCCGGGGGATCCGAGCCCACCGCCTTCATCCGAAACCTTCACAGCTTCCTGTTCATATGGATACTTAGTATTGTTTACCCGAAAGGCACGTACTGTGTCCGAGCCTCATCAGGATACACTTCCTCGTCTACTCCATTGCAGGCAACACCATCCTTTGGACGTAAGAGGTGCTCAATAAACATTTGGAGGGTGAAAAATGAAGGTAGTAACCACTCCCAGCTGTAGACCATTCATCCATGAAAACAGATACTATCACCTCTAAAATTATGATGCACTTGAATGAGAAGATGCAGTGTGAACTATCAGAATTCAGCGACAGAATACCTTTAGGAGTGTCGTCGGGTGCATTTGCCTTTATTACTAATACAAATGAGTGGTTTTATCTCTTTAAAAATACACTTAGGTTAATGCAGGCGGATTGGCACCCCAGGCTCACCCGCCGATCCGCCAGCCTTAGCCACGCATGGGCCTGTGACTCGAACGTTCTTCGGACGGCCGAGGATCCGAGAGACACTGAAAACAACCTTGTGGATTCCCGGCCTCGTCTGTGAACAGTGGAAGCTCTATAAATAACCCTCACACATAGAACGACCCTGTGCGAGGCTGGGGAAGCAGTCAGCAGATTGCCTAAACCGACTCTCTGTGTGCGGAACCGGGCAACTGGGAGACCCAGGCTGGGCTCCAGCATTCGGGCATGTGCCACGGCTACAGCGTGTGAGTCCCGGTCAGGACGTGGGGAGCTTCCGGGAGGGCAGGCTCCTACCCACTGTGCCGCGGACACAGACAAGTGCCGGACAGAGAAACGGGACGCAGTGGAGTGCGTGGGAAGGCTGGGGGCTTGTCCCCAAGGTGCACACGGGCAGCTCAGTGTGAGCCCTTCCAGAGCGTTTGCCTGAGGACAGCGCTGAACGCTGGCCTGCCACATGTGTGCGCATGCAAGTCTCCGCATTTTCCTCCCCTGCTGCCACCCTGCAGACTCGGAGGGGCCGGGAGACAGTTCTGGGCTCAGTGGGCTGCGTTACATACGGGAAGCCTTGCGCCGAGGGGACCCCCATCTTCTGTCGCGTGCGATGGCCTGTCCTGATCTTTGTCCCCGGGGAGAAACTCTGTCTCTATTTTCCAGGGTGTTTGCTCTACAGACGAATGTACTGGAAACGTGAGAGGCTCATGAAAAAACGCCCCCACCCGTGGATCTCATGTTGCAGGGACAAAGACAAACGCACGTGTGAGTGGAAGAGTGGGAGAAGGAGAGGAACTCGTAGTGGTCGGTGACAGGGAAGGGGAACTCAAAGCCGGGCCGCGAAGACTGGTAAGGAAGGGCTATGTGTGGCAGGTCTGTCTGGGAAGACCCGTAGGAGAAGGTCACGCTTGAGCTTGAACCAATCGAAGGACAGAGGAGTCATGTAAACACCCTCCGAGAGAGCATTCGAGGATGAAGGCAGCCCTAATGTTGACTCCGAATGCAGGGGGGGAAGGCGCGATGTGTTCAAGGGGCAGCAAGAAACCCGGCGCCCGCGCCGAGCCAGCAGAAGGCCTCGTGGTGCAGGGGGAGGTGGAGGCGGGTCCGGACCCTCGGCGTGTCCGTGCGCCGTGAGCCCGGGGTGGGCTTCCCTAGGGTGTTAGATCTGACAGGCTGGCCCTGCAGATGAATAAACGAATGAACGAATCAATGCCTTCCCCTCGTTTCCTTGAAGGGAATGATGGAAACGGCTCTGGGATGGGGAGTGGCTGAGCAGTCCTCACCCTGAACCACAGCCGGTCCGGCGGGGTCAGAGCCCCAAGAATAGAGACAGAGAGCGGCCGCCGCGAAGGCGGGAGACCAGAGACCAGATGCGGGGGGTCTGGGGCGGGGGTGGCACAGGAGCTGGCTGAGGGCCTGGAGGCGGGTTCAGGGGTCTGAGCGGACGAGGCCCTGTGTCCCCAAGAGGAGCCCACGGCTGGGTCCAGTGAGGCAGCGGCTTCCCGCCACTGTCCCCACCACTGTCCCCACGGCCCCTGCCCTCCGGTCCCAGCCCGCCCCTCACCGTCTCGCCCCCGTATCCCTCCCTCCATCCCCTCTTCCCGTCTTCCTCAGGTTCCCCTCCTTGACTCGTTTCTCGTCTCCATGTCTCCTTTTGGTAATTCCGTTTCTCAAGTCTCTTGTCTTACTGCCCCTCCGCCCCTTTCCTTTGCTTACTTTGGGGCTCCTCCCCCCGACACTGGGGGCGCCCCAGGCAGGGAGACGGCGGGAGGGGCAGTGGGGGTGGAAGGCCCTCCCTCCTTGGACTGGGCAGAGCTGCTACCCCGGAGGCTGACGGGCAAGGGGAGAAGCCTGTGCCCTCCATTGTCCCCTGTCCTTTGGGAAGGGACGTGTCGGCAGTGACTCGCGGTGCCTGGTGCACCCCTGCCGGGTGCTTTGTGAACGTGGGCGCCGTTAACACCTGTGCACTCACACGATCCTCATCCTGGTTCCCCGGGACTGCGTGTCTCAAACTCTCAGGGCCCAGCGAGGCGGCACCGCAGAGCTGGTTTTTCTTCTGTGGCTCCCGGAGGAAAGCTGTCGTTCTCTTTGTTTTGTTTGTCCCAGGCCACGGTTGCCATGGCAGCGTAGAAACCACAGAATCGGTGATAGACGAGAGGTAGGCAGCATCTCACTTCCAGATAAACACTACGAAGTAAAGCTCCGGGAGGTCAAAAGCAAGCGGCACCCGCAGCCGGCTGCCACCGATGCTCCTGTCCCCCGATGTCCCTCCCCACGTGCCCCTCCCTTCCCACGGGTGTCACCGCTTGTCCTCCACCTGTCCCTGAGACGAGCCAGTGGCTGTCAGGTTGTTCCTTTATCCCTCAGACATGCCTCGAGGGCCTCGCAGGTGCCAGGGACCCTCCGGGCACCAGCACCTGGTGAAATAACTACACAAGGGTCGGCAAGGTCCAGGGCCTCAGGACTGTGACAGGGACCCTCGTGGGTGCAGGGGGGACCCTGGTGCGCCTACGGGTGGGGCGGGGTGGGGTGACAGGGAGTCCGAAGGGCTCCATGTTCGATGTAACCCTGCGTCTTGAGCGAGGGCCGTGAGGGTTCATCGCTAGGAGGAGAGGCACCGCGGTCCAGTGGTGGGCCAGGCTCGCTGGGGAGCGCCACGCCGTCCGGTGTGGCGGGCGTGGAGGGTGCAGGGGGAGGCGGCGGGTGGGGAGACGGCCCCTCGAGGGAGGAGGCCGTGGGACTATCAGCTGGGAAGTCATGTCCGCCGGTGTCCGCAGCGGGATGGTGTGGTCGCTGGTTCTGGAAGGGTGTGCCTCTCTTACTCGGTTACGGTGACTTTGCACAGAAGGAGCCGGCTTCTCTGTTGGAGCAATGCACACACACAAATAACTGCACACGTGTACACATACACACATGTATTCACGTGTGCACATGCACGCACATGTATGTGGGCCTATAAACCTGCCCACAGCCCCACTCCCCCAAACACAGTAAGAGTCAGTAGACAGTTGTTATTGCCTCTGAAAAATAAATGGATTTCAAGGAAAAGATTTTTTATTTTTAAAGTTTGTTCGGGTTCTCTTTTTCATTTTAAAAATGAACGTTTTTTTTTTTAAATTATAGGAAGTTAGGAAAAGCAGAACGTTAACAGCAGAACAGAGAGAAATAAACACATTCTGTTCTCACCGTGATCCCTTCCTCCAGCCGCTCTGCCCTGCGCGCAGGCCTTGCCTGTTCGTTTTCGAGCCTGCGTGTGAGTCTGAGGGATCTTAGGCTGCAGAGGGGGAAGTGGGTTCCCAGGACTTCAGCTCCAGTCTCACCCCGCGGTGCTCACGGCTCTGCTGTCGGGCGCTGCTCCGAGTGCCCAGCAGAGCAGGAGCCACGCGGGCGCGGACCGACCAGCCTCTTGGCAGACACCGCCACTCCCTGCACACCCTCCTCCGCGTGGTCCGGCGCCACGGAAGGCTCTCCTCCGAGGGGCCTTGGAGCTCTTGTTGTCCAAACACTGGTGCTCGTTGGTTGAAGCCGTCAGGACACGGGGCCGGCTTCTCCTGGCCTCTGGATCCGTCCTCCGGCAGCCCACGCCGCCCCGCCCCCTGCCACCCTGGCCGCCCCAAGAGCAGGAAACAGAGGAGGCCCTGCCAAAGCCCTCAGCCCAGCAGGCTCCTTCCTGCCTGCCACAGGGGTGGGAGGGCACAGGGCCGGGGCGGGGCCCCTCCGGCTGCACGCACCGAGTGTCACTCCTCGTCTCAGAGAAACACAGACATTGCCCTCCTCCCCCACCAAAGCAGCCAGCCACCCCAGCACCGAGAGCAAGTGGGAAGCTGGGCACAGCTGGAGTTACTTCTGCGGTGTGGATCTCAAGCGTCCTGCGTTCATGGGGGTGGTGGCCACTGATCTCCCGGGGCCGACCGTGAATCGTATTTCCTTGGGCCACGCAGTGGTTCCAGTTGCATCCTTAGAAAGACGTTGCTTTGTGCTAAGGAACTGCAGATTCTGTAAATCCTGCGTTCAGAGAGACTAAACATTAGCTGCACTAGGTCATCTCAAAGTTATTGGTTAGTGATCGCGTCGTGGTCACATTGGCCAGATCCCCCTGCCCCTGCTAATTGACGTTGCCAGAGGTGGCTGGGTGGCGTGGGTGGGTGGTCTCAGCCTGTCCCGGGCAGCCTGGGCCTGTCGCGGCGGGGGGCCTCTCAGAAGCCCGGCGCAGCCTGACCGTGTGAGGGGAAGCTTACTTTTCTTACTGTCCCGTTTTGCGCCTCACACAGCCTGGGAAGTCAAGGTTATTGCCACAGTAACCAGCAGCTCTGTGAATGTCAGAGTTTGTTCAGGCGGCCACATTTCTCCACCCGCTGTCCCCAGGGCTTTGAAGCTGGGAAATTTCCTGAACTCTGGTTAAACATTACAGAGCACGTGCCTCTCAGAATGGGCGAACCATAAACTGTCCAGCGGAGTTCAGGAGAAAAGAACCTGGGGCTTGGGGCCACGGAAGAGGAGTTTGAGCCATTTTTAGTGCCTTCACCTTGAGTGAGCGCTGCTGCTCTGGTTTTCCGTGTCATTCGGAATTCTGCTTTATTGTGACGGCCAAAATAAAATAGGCTCTCCCGGTCTCTTCTCCCGGGCCCAGGAACGTGGCTCGCCCTTGCCTCAGTGTTCTCTCCGTGCTGTGTGCGGACGTGTATTGTGGAGACCTCGGGAGACGTCATTTTTATCACGAAGCCGATGTGATGTCCATGGCCGGCCGGGATCCGGCTCACGGCCTGGCTCCCCCGGCCTGTCCACCTGCAACACAGAGGCCATCCGAAACCCTCCGTGAGGGTGCCCACGGGCTCCATCCGTGTTCCCTAAGCCTCGGAGCTCTACGTGACTCTAAGGCCTGGCCCTGGTTTGCGTAGGTCGCTCAGGGCGGCACATTTCATGGAAGTCAGGGAACCTGGGGCAAGGGAACCAGGAGCCGTCAGCAGTGACTGGCTGGGTGGGGCGGGGGGAGGCCGTGGGGAGGGTGGGGTGGTGGGGGGCGGGAGACTTTAAATTCTTACCCTGAGTCCATTTTCGACATTAGAAATGCGGGTGATTACCCTGTCGGTGTGTCTTAGGGCTTTTTTCAAAGTAGAAGAAAGCATGTGTGGCTCACCTGTCCGCTCCTCGGTGCTTACCTGGGGGGGTCGTGGGCACACGGCAGGTGGGACTGAAAGCAAGGCCTGCCCCGCTGTTCGGTACGTTGCCATCGATTAAGAACCGTGAAACTTTGCTCACTTTCGTGTCCAACTTTTCTCTCTCCGTTTATTAGTTACCGTGTTCTCACAACTTTCCTGGTGCTATTAATTACTATTAACAATATCGAGTGAAAAGCCCCAGGAGATTCAATAATTGCCCAAGATTCACAGGCGGCAGACAAGACCAGGCCTCAAGAGGCCTGGCTGGAGCCCTTCGGGGAGGGTGGACACTGCGGAATGGCCCCCAAAGCCAGCTTTCTGTGCCCTCTGTCCCTGGTGGGGACTGGGGCTTCCAGGAAAGCTTCTCCCTGCAGACCGATGGCCGCCTGTGACTCATGTGTCATTCGTTGAGTCCCAGCCCTCGCTGGGAGGATACCGAATTTGGAGTCAGACGACCTCCTGACGTGAACCTGGGCCCTCCCGCTAACCGAGCTGTGTGACCTTGAGGAAGGTCCCTTCACTGTCCCGAAGGTCAGGAGGCGGCCGAGGCAGGGGTGGCACGCACTTCAATTTCAGGAACCTTGTGAGCCTTGTAAACGGCAAGACGCTTCGTGAACGTGCGTGTGTCACTGGCTGTCCAGCTGTGGGAGGCTCGTGGGCGGAGGCGGGGCTTCCCGAGGCCCCAGGGAGCCCAGAGCATCTCAGAGGAAAGGAAAAAAATCACTCTCACGAGGAGAAAGGAATGTTCCCACTGCGAGGGCCACCTCAGTCTGCGATCATGGGGCCCCAGGGCCCTTTAGTATCTGTTCATTTTTCCCTCCTGGGACAGCGATGTCTGACCCCTGCACGCCACCCAGCTGTGACAGTAATTCGGTCTGCGCCGCCAGCTCCCGAGCAGAGGAATTTCAGTCCCTGGGCCCTTTGCCTGAGGCTTCGCTATAAATGCCTGGGCCCTTGGTCACTGAAAGAGAATCATAAAAATACTGGGCTTCCTGTAAGTCCGGTAAAATCGTTTTCACTGCAGAACGCTGTTACAAGGGGATCTAGGGGCCCAGGGTTCTTCCGTGGGTCACGGGAAGTGGAGGTCGGCTAGCACGTGCGTGAACTTCTGCCCCGTGTTGGCTCAAAACGCCTCTGCCGACCCACGCGGCCGTCACTCCGTCCCTATGTCTTCACGGGAAGGGACTCGGAGAACCGCGCTGTGGGGGGTGGGTTTAGTGGTCCCCACAGGCAGTCGGAGCGGGGGAAGAAGGGACCTTGGAGAATGGCGGCCTGCCCAGGACGACCAAACCGCACCAGGCCTGTTCTCCTGCACCATAGATTTAAACTGTCATCAGCGTGGAGCAACACGCGTCAGTGTCAGGTGTACCATAAGTGACCCGACGTTTCTGTGTGTGACGGTGTGGCCGCCCCACCAGGGCTAGTGACCGTCTGTCACCGCACAGCTGTCACAGTATGACGGACTATCGTCCCTGCAGCTTTTTCGCCCCTCCCCCGACCTCCTGCCCTTCTGGCAGCCGTCGGTGTGATCGCTGGTTCTACGAATCTGTTTTTCTTTTGTTCATTCACTTTTTTTGGAGTCCGTGTCTAAGTGAGGTCATACGGATTTGTTATGTCTCTGATTTACTTCACTTGGCCTAACGCCCTCTCGGTCCACCCCTGAGGTTGCAAATGGCAGGATGTTAGTCCTTCCTTACTGCGCTTTCTCGCTGAGTTATAGTCCAGTGCGTGTGTGTGTGTGTGTGTGTGTGTGTGACATCCTGTTTGTTCACCTCTCAGTTACCACCCGGCTCACTTCCATTTTTTGGCCGGTGTAAGTGATGCGGCTGTGGGCATGGAGGGGCGTGTGCCTCCTCAAATTAGTGACTTTGTTTTCTTTGGATGAACACCCAGGAGCGGACTTGCTGGGCGGTACGGCATCTCTAGCTTTGATTTGGGGGTAACTCCACACTGCTGTCTACAGTGGCTGCCCTGGTCTTCGCTCCCACCGGCGCTGCACTGGGGCTCCCCTTCCTCCCCCTCCTCGCCAGCACTTGCTATTTGCTGACTTTCCGTCACCTGTTACTTGTCAGCCTTCTGATGACGGCCATCTAAGAGGCGCGAGGTGCTGTCTCACTGTGGTTTCAATTTGCATTCCCCTGATGATTAGTGACATTGAGCATCTTTTCATACGTCTGTTGGCCATCACATGTCCTCCTGGTAGAAATGCCTATTCAGGTCCCCTGCCCACTTTTTGAATGGATTATTTTTTGGCTTCTGATGGTTTCAGGCTTGGAGTCACAGCCGCCCGGACTTACTGACTCGCCGAAGAGCCCTAAAAACTAGTTTTCTCTTCCAAGGGTCTGCTTCCCATCCTGACACCTGCGGGTCACCCTGACTCAGGGACCACCAAGCTGTGCTCGAGGACAGATGCCACACACCCTAGGGACACACACACAATGGAGACAACAGAGGCTTCCAAAACACAAACCACAGACGGGTAGCACCCGGTGGGGGGGGGGGGACAGCGCCGTGCCCCCTGCAGCGCCCCCCAGCGGTTCTCCTTGGTCTGGAAACCAGGCTACTTGGTCAGGTTGTCCATCGAGGTGTCCGCCCAACTGGTGCCCCTCTCTCACCCCCGTGCCAGGCCTGTTCCCCAGGGAGATTCCGCCTCCTGTCCTGCCTTGGCCTGTCCCTGGGAAGTGTCATTTCCTGCCAGCCCAAGGCCAGAGGGGCGTGGCTGTGCTCACACACACAAAAAGGGGACCACGCACCCCTGTAGATATTTTTATTTCTAGTTACATGTCTCCCAGACCCCTGTGGGGTTGTTACCCACTCCCAGAAATGAACTGAGTGTCTATAGCAGTGAAATTGGAGAAAACCAGTCACTACTTGCATTTCTTCTCTCGACCTCCTTACTGCCAGTGACTAGAGAATATCGATACTGAACTTAATCATGAAATTGAATGAAGCTCAGATGAGAAGCCGTGGTCCCCGGAGAAAAGCAACAGAGCCACAGAAGAGGAATGAGAAGGAAGTCAAGAAAATGTTTCTCTGTGAGATTCTGCGTTGTAGGGACTAGAATGGATTTGCATAGAACCACCTGCCTCGCCTCAAGGAGCAGATTTCTGCTTGAAAATAGTGAATTACGTGCGAAAGGCTTAGAGATCTGCCTGGCACCGCGCTGGTCGGACTCGCGGCAGGTCCTTCCCGTCAGTCCTCATTCGTGGTGGCTCCCGGCACCTTCGCACGTGGGCTGTGGCCCTTACAGGGAATCTCAGGAATATCAAGGTTCCTTCCAGAGTAAGACTGCTCACCATTGCTGCCGCCCAGTGTTTTGTGCCCCAAGATGCTGTCCTGCAAGGTAGGACCAGGGACCCGGAACTGATGACGTCCCCCATGTGTTGGAGGGTCACAGTTCTGACCTGGAGATTAGGGTCTTTCGTTGTATCCCCACAGCATGTCACCTGCTCCGGTCGTCACACCCATCGCTCCCGTCAACCGAGTCCACTAGAACCTGCGGTCCCGTGAATGACAACTCCCTGAGGGAAGTTTGGGTCTAGGGGCCAGTTTGGATCTGTCTGTGTCATCCCTGCGTCCCTGGTGCCTGGGAGAGCGCCTGACACATCGTGCGCCGCAATTGAATGCGTCCTTAGCCCAGGGGTGACAAACGCGGTTGATTCTCGCCTCCCCCCCTTAGCTGCAGCCTCTGAAGTCTCCACAGACCCTGAACTACTGGCCATGGACCCGTTGCTGTGGAGGGAGGGAGGTTCAGGGTCCGCGTCCCGTGAGCCTCTGCTGACGATAGTTGCCCAGCGATCCTTACATGCATGCCCTGGCTTTCAGGGTGCTTCCTCTCAAAGGCAGCTTTTTAAATCTGCGTTGTTGACTTGTTAACACGGGGCTCACGGCAACAGCATCGTGATTCCTGTCTACGTGAAACCCACCGTGCGTGCTGTCCCCGTCATCTTGTGGTCGGGGACGCTGGACAGCGCTTTCCCACTGTCCTACATGCCCCGGGAGCCGTTTCAAACAGGAAGGTCACCAGCAAAAACACACAG